GGAGTGGATGAGTTGAGTGTACCCTAGCATCCCTGCCCCCACTGCTTTCTTGCAGGGTGCACAGCAAGCTGCCTTACCCGTTATTTTTCCAGCAAGCAGCAGCAATAGAATTAAGAATTAAAACTTAGATCAGCAAATTGGTATCATTCCTCAAGCTTGGAGACAGTAGCAAAGGAGCTGAAGGGATCCCTACAAACCTGTCAGAAATTAATGGGAAGATTCCTGGTCAGTGGGAGTTTAGGCAAACAAAGATTGATTTGAGATCCTTTGTCTCCCAGGGTGTTAATTTGGGCTCAGAGAGACTTCTGTAAGGAAGAGATTTTGACACAAAAATCTCATTTCTGTTTGCTGTATTGTTAGACACCCCAACCTCAATTAATGAAGATTAATATTTATTAACAAGAAAATCACTATATTTTTGTGGGGAAAAGTGCTTCTGGCAGTCTTCTGTTTGAATACAGAAATAAAAGATATTGTTGTCACAAGAATAAATGGGTATACAAAAGATTTTCTGTACATTTAATTAGGAAAGTGGAGGGAGGAAAGTGTGTATATTAATTTGGGTTTTAAACAGCAGCAAGCACTAAGATAGTTTGAGATGTGATACAGGGTGTCACTTAAATTCAGTACCAAGCACACTCCCTTTTCAATTCTGTCAATTCTTAACTGTCTTGTCTCCATTGTCATTTTAACGTGAGAGAGCAAGCCTCAATTTAGATCCCCCCTCCTTTTTTTCTCTCTAGTGAATACCTAATCATCACACTGATTTTTGACTGGGTATTGACTGTGAGACTTCCTGGCCTAATTTTTCTTGCTAACTATAATAGCAATAGCTGTTTTTTTTTTTTTTAATCTGAGATATGCTGGATGTTCAGAGATGCAGATGTATTTTGGGTTAATTGAGTAATAGTCATTGAAGACCCAGGGCTTCTCCTGCAGATTAACAAACAAAGTGATAGGTCAAAAAGCTTAAGGTCCGTTACCCTGTGAGATACTAATACCCCCACAATTAATTTCATTTTCATGATTGCATCATCTTAAATTGAGGTGAAAACAAGGATTTTTCATCCCCCCCCCCAGCTGAGTTTGACTGGCACAACTTCTGACATGGGTGTACAGAGGCTGGTACCATGGCCAAGTCAAATCCTTTTCTTTGTTCTCTGGGCCTGCTGCTGCTGATAAAAGTGGTCGGCGCATGGCATTATGTCTTATTACATTTTTGATGCAGACTGCAAAGAAACGGGTAAACTCACCATGGTTACCACGATCTGTCATTTGGCAGGGCACGCCGTACTCAGCGATGGCCTCTAGTGTCTGCAGCGCGGCTCTGCGTATGTCGTGCGTGCCGTAGACAATACAGCACCCCTGCCTGCCGAAGCCACCCAGCTCCACTGATCTGACTGCTAATTCAGATCAGGAGCCATGCTCCGACTCCAGCATCAGGTTCTTACTCATACTTGCCTACTGAAAGTTCGTGTTTGTTTTTTTGTCATTCAGTGTTGACTGAGTCACTGCTGGATTCAAGCTCCCATGCTGACACCAACTACTGTCCATTGCAACGGCCGTGTGTTGCTGGCTTTCACATCTGTGAAACTTTCTTGGTCAGCCCCTAGGTTCACTGCTTTGTCTTGGCACATCACATTTCTAGTCGGGTTTCTTTTCTGATCTAGACATACCTCCCTGTGTTATTTCATGCAGACTAAACACGTGTCATTGCTTAAATCAACATAATCTGAAACAACTGTTAAATTATCTGCACTATGTTATCATTAACCAATATGGTGGTGATAATTTTTTTTTTTGTTTTGCATGGGCTACAGCTAAGGTTTGCTCAGTGGGTAGAGCAGGATTCTTGAGCCTGGTCATTGGAGTCCTTGCCTTCATTCTGAACCAGTTTGGAGCTCCCAGGTCTTGTATGTGACTGCCTGCAATAACAGTTCAGGAACAAGTCTTTGCAGGACGGGTCTTTTGTTTTATTGTACATGAGGAAAAATAGCTTAAGTCTTTCTCTGCTTAATTGAGGTAATTAAACCTTCTTACCTTGCAGCACAAGGGGCTCATTAATGTTTTTGAAGCATTTTGAAGTCCTTGGAGGAAAGATGCGGTTTGCTGTTGTGTCGTGTTTGATAACCGTTGGAATTCGGTCATCTGGGCTTGAAATACTGACTGAGTTGTACATATGGAATTCTTACAATTGTATGTGTGTCTTGAGCTGATAGTGTGAAGAACTAATTGAGTGAATGGCTGACAACTGTGGTGTTCCTTCACAGTGCCATACTCTCTGGGTGTGTTTAGTTTTTTTGGGTTTTACTATGCTGTAGCAAAATGTGACAATTAGCTCCATGTGAAACCTTAGTGACGGAGATGCAGATTGTAATGCCATAAAATTTAGCAGCTTAGTTAAAGACAAAGGGAAACCTTGCTTTTTTAAGGTGACCGGCCTAATTTACCTTTTTTAGGATTTGACATCCGGTTAATTAGTAAAAATTAAGAACACATTCTCTGCTTGTAGTGAAGAGACCACCACAGTGATACCCTCTGATTAATTCTGAAGTGGAGAGAGACTTCCCAACTGAGGACTAGAGTGTGTTCCACTATGTTCAGCAGTGCTTGGTACAGTGTAACTGCTGGCTCTTTCTTTTTGTAGTGAGGGGAAAGTATGAATAAGATCACTTGCAATTTTAAAACAAAGCTAGAGATTTACATAGTTCTGAGCCCCAGTGACTTCTAGCATCAGTTTTAATTTAGATTTAAATGAAGGCTGGTAAATGAGATCTGTTCCTCATATGAAAGACAGTTGGGAATTTTCAGCAAAGAAGTTTGCGAGGGGGAAGATTTTTCCAGACAGCAGGCAGTCTGTGTCTGTGCCTACAGGCAAAGACAACAGCATCAGTGGATGCAGGGGCACTTCAGCTGCAAGAGTGAACAAGTTGAATGGTGTAATGTTTCCTTAGTCCTGAGTGTACAGTCCATAACCAGCAGGTCCTCTAGCGCTGTGGTGAAATGGGCAGCATAATTAAGCCCCCTAAGAAAAATCTAAAAGTTGTTTTACAAGCCCAACTTCTTACCATTGTGGGGTGAGGGGGAAGAATTGTTTTGATTGTTCATTTCTGGAGCAGTTCGTCAATGATCACATTAGAGTCTGTTTCTGTAACTCCTAGCTGACTCAAAATCCTGTAGATCTGAATATAATCTTTTATAACTTTAGAAAAAGTAACCGTAACCCAAAGTGATGTTATTTTTTCCTTTGGTTTACTTATGTAGCACAATTTGCCTGGCTAAAAATGTTTGATATCACACAAAGAGGAATAATAGTAGCACTCCTCGCCTGCGATGTCATACAATGAGCAGCAGATCTGATATACCTCAACTGACTGTACCCTATGAATAGTTTTGGCATTGGCTGAAAATAGTACTGAGGGTAACTTGCATTGACCGTGTGATGGCACTTTGAGTTGCAAAATTACTTTCAGATAACTTGCACTGAAAAAGTAAAAATAGCACAGTGCATTAGACTCATCTATGTGGAATGTATATATGCAAAAATAGGGCTCCTTAATATTTACAGTTTGTCTAGGCAGAACAACCTGTCATGCTACACTCTGTTTCACTTTTAGGCAAACAATTTGCCCTGCTAATGTTGCAGGCTGTGCTGTTTTCAAATGTACAGCAAACATTAGAGAAGCATTAATTTAACCATTCTCTTCCTAGCAAATACCGTGACTCTGAAATGTCATTAGTGAGCTTAGACAAAGGTGAGAGGTCACAGCTTTAGATAAAAGTGATTAAAATGTGTCCCAGTGTAACAGACTAATTAATCTTTAGATAATAACTGATTTTTTTGTTCTCTTTTCTCTCTACAGCTGGGAGTATTCACTCTCCCTCCACAAGTATGGCAACATCTGCGCAATACAGACAGCTTATAAATGACTATGGACCCCCATCTCTAGGCTATACACAAGGGATGCAGGTACAGCTTTGTTTTTCTTTAATCAGATCACTGACCCTACATTTGCATAGTAGCATGGATTGTGGCCTGTAATCTGAGGTGTTCCTCCCTCCCACCAAGACTTGAAATCAAACCCAAATGGCAGACTGATTCATCGCACATGTCTTGGGATCAAATTAGACTAAGGAGAGTGCTGAGTGAGATTAGTTACTAATTAACTGTTAGTCCCATCCCATCTGAGTCACAGTGAAGTATGTCTTGAGTTATGTTCTGATAGTAAGGGCTCTAACATATTTTAAAATTATTTGTTAAAAAATGAGTATTTCTATACTGTTTTTCTTCAGCAAATTTATACTCTAAAATTTAGTCTCATGAAGTGTGTGTCACAGACAGTCCTATGGGCTGCTTCAGGAATCTGGCGGTAAACTTTCCAGGCAATGTATTTGACTTGATAGGATTTCCCTTACCATATGGGCAGTTTTGTTTTATCTGCTTCTCACTCTCCCCACCTAGTTAATTTCTCCACAAAATATACACCTAAACATGGAAAAAGCAGAAACAGAGTTAAATAAGCAGTTCCCAGTTTGCTGTTCTTGTGGGACTGTTTTCTGTTTCACCTAAGGTCCCCGTCTTGCAGCTGCATCCTCCCAGTTGATCCTGATTTTTGAAAGGCACATAGCGTGTCCAACTCTGGCAACAACTGCAACAAGAAAATCATGTTTATATAATAAACCTGAAATTTAATTTTTTTAAAAAGTGGCTTCCAGGGCTATTTCAGGTCCTCCATGAATTTCCAGTCACTGTTTGTTGTAATTGTTTTGGTTTTAGCAATATTTGATTGAGATTAATCTACTTTCAACTACAGGGTACCAGCAGCAGTCAAGTACCGCAAAGCAAATATGCAGAACTTCTAGCTATCATAGAAGAATTAGGAAAAGAGATTAGACCTACATACGCTGGGAGTAAAAGTGCGATGGAGAGGCTAAAAAGAGGTAAGGTTTAAATTTATTTAAAAAAAAAATAAATTGTGTCCCATACACTTTGTGCACTGACTGCTTGTATACAGCTTCATGACAACTGCTTCCTTTGAAAGGAGACAGCTGTCTTCAGCTCATCATTAAAGTAGGTGTATTAACAAGCAACTGAAACCTTGGGATACTCTATTCATGCTGTATTTGATAGATAAACCAGTGCCAAAATGTGTTTCATGTGCACAAGGGGAGTTTCTGTTAATAATTTAAACCTTATTCTAGAACCCTGAAGGTGTCTAATGGGTTTGTTCTTTCAGGTTCCTGGTGACTTACTTGTCCCTTCAATTCCCTTTTCTCCCTAGTCTCCAAAATACACAGCCAAGCATTGTTTACTTCTTCTCATATATATCACCCATCTACTTGATCCAAGAGTCTTTACTAAAGTGCATTTTGCCTAAATTCCCACTAAGGCTGGTGGAGAGAAGAGCCACCGAAAAAAAAAAAAGGTTGTCGGGGAAAGCTGTTGAGACTGAGATGTCAAACGTACACATTCCTCCTCTCTGTGGAGTGTTGGACTGCTTAGGTGCCCTTATCTGTTGTCAAGTGGATGTCGTTAAGAGTCCACTAGTAAGGGACATAGAAGCTTTTAGGCCTGGCTGATGAGGTCTCTCTAGCTTTGCTTTGTCAGCTAAAAGAGGTAATAAATGCCCTTTCCTTGCAGTGTAAAAGAAACCCTCGCATGCCCCACTGCTGACATCAGCTTGACATTGTCCTCTGCAGGGGACATGCGAGGGATATTTCTGAAGGAGCAGTGGGACATTCCACTGCTCCAGCTCCTGAAATGACCCTGAAAGGCCATCGACAACGGTTGTGCTGGCAGTTCTGTCCTTTGCCAGTGTAACGTTGGTAGCTTTTCCTCCCTTTCCTCAGTCCTTGTGCTGAGTTTGGCTCATGCATTCAACCCTGAATGGGAATGTTATTGTAACAGACTAACTTCACCACCTTGCAAATCCCCCTTACATTTACCCAAGACTACAAAGCTTTATTTAAGGCTCAGCCATTATGGGAGGGTAATATATCTGCCATGACATGCTTTAATAAAATGACTAGTAGCTGTTCTGGGAAAGGATGCAATAAAGTCTGCTGATGAGTGGTAAGTGGAATCTGGCCCAGCTAAAATCAATGTTGCTGGAGTCTCTCTTTATTGCATTGCCTGAGTCAGTATTAATAGATCATGAATGGCAATAGGCTAATGGGGACAACCTGAGAGAGACCGGGAGAGATGCAGACCTTCTCTGAACTGAACGGTTCAGTTTGGTGAGGAAGAGTTGTTTTGCTGCTTCTTGTAGTGAGCATTTTGGTAGCTGGCTAATGCAGGTTTAAGATTCAGTGCTGCCACTGTGACTTGCCAGCGTTGCGAAGAATCCCAAATAAATACTTTTTGCTGCCATCTTTTGGTCACAAACATACCTCTCTTTCCATTTTGGGAACCTAATGGCTGAAGGAGCATGTGCAAGTGTGAGAGCAGAAGTGACTGAGGGTAACCACGTGACTGCAGCCTCCATGGCCATGGGGAGGTTATTCCTGAGTAAAGTCCCTGTCCCCAGCTCCACCCGCTCCTAAGCACAGAGGCTACTGACCTCTAAAACTGGCCAAATTCCCAGTGTTCTACATAATTCAGGATAGTTCTGCTGCATAAACTGGGCATCCTGCCACCAGATCCAGGTCTAATGCACTGCTTTGAGTATGTCTTTCTGCATCCTATGGCTGCGGGATGCAGCTTTGCTTGTCCGCGTCAATTTAACCCTCTGCAAGCCTTGCACCCATCAAGTCCCAAGTCAGTACTCCCTGGGTGTAAAGGCTGTTCCTGTGATCTGGGCTAGCAGCTCTCTAGAAACGGAATCCGTTATCTCTAGAGATTAAACATCTGTTGCCTTATTGTCCTTTTTCCACCTTGTTAGGGAGCATGACTGAGCAGAGAAATCATCTTCTATCTTGTCCTGTCAGTAAAATACAACCTCATTTGTTGCAGAAAAACCTGTCCATCTCTCATTTTAAAATCTCTCTCAAGCTCTGTTCCTTCAGCAGCTCTGTGAACATGAATCTAGATTTAATTCCAGGATTAAGAATCAAGGTCCAGATTGCTGGAACTCAAGGCAACAGGACTTGTAGTGGAAAATTCCACATTATGTCTATCAGATGAGAGTAGATACAGCAGCAGGTAAAGTGGTGATGATTTACACTGGGAACTGAGCCAGTGTTAGGGGGTAACTTTTTGCACACACCATAAAAAATTTCTTCTTATACTTAACAAGAGACACAACTTGTGTTTAAGCAGTATTATGAAGGCTTGGACTTTGATGCATCCTCTCAGAGGAGAACTATCCCAAGGTGTTAAGACTCTTAGAGCTTGCCAAAATGACTCCCCAAATAACTTGATTTTTTTTTTTTTCACTCCACTGTAACAAAATAACTCAAGATTATTTTTTTTCTTTCTGTTAAGTCTCTGATTTTAAATAGGCCTGCATTACACATTAAGATATACCTGTCAGTGCAGACACAGAAATCTTACCATGCTCCGATTCCTGGTTTAGTCCCTTTTCAATTTATAATGTCAGTTTGGGAAAGCAAACTTGTTTAGCAGCTGCTGCTGTTTGGGAAGTGAGGGATCTCTCCCTTTTCTGAGGCATGCTGTGGTAGCCTTGGCAACTTGGGACAGAAGTATGTAAACCTTTCTCTGGACTGTTATTGCAAGTGTCACCTGAATGAGATGATTTAAAATATGTCCAATTCTTTTGCAGGCATTATTCATGCTAGAGGATTAGTTCGGGAATGCTTGGCTGAGACGGAACGAAATGCAAGATCCTAGCCCACTAATTTCATTTGCAAGGTTTTCCATCTCTTAATGAAGAAAAAGTAACACTTAATCCTTTTGACTCTTGAAACATTCAAATTCCTTTTTGAATGTTTTACCTTTCTTGTTTTGCCCTTACAAAAATGTATAGTTAAGAATGAGAAAACAAGGATTTTTCAACTTACTGAGGGTTTGCATTTTGTAAAGATGTTAAAACTTCCTAAAATGTTTCTAAAACATGAGAACTGAACTGCATGCAGAGGAATGCTCTTTCTCTCCCAGGCTATATTTCAATTCTCTTCTCATCCAGCCACAGTCTCATTCTGTTTTTTTCCTTTGACTATATTCACTTAACCCCAAACTGTCAATCTTTCGAAGTTTGACATAAGCTCTAAGGATTTTGTTTTTAATAAATGCAGAATAGCATGCTGTACCTAGTAGTCCGCTAAGTCACAGTTTGTCATACAGCGTAGACCCTGCTTAGAAATAACCTTCACCTTCTCTTATTTTTCCTTTTTTGTTCATTTTGCATAAACATTTGCATGACTGTTAGTGCTTTGAAGTCCATTTAAAGTGCATGAGTTATATGGAAAATAGGGAAACCTATTAAATAATAACAAGGTCCTGGAAAGCTAATTTCTACATTAAGGCTGGAGATTTCAGTTTAAAGTTTGCCAAAAAAAGAAAATTCTGGAGAAATTACTAAAACTGTTATTTGCATCTTTGTATGTATTTATTACTTGACGTAATAAAGCTTATTTTCATTAACAGTTTGTATTAAAACTATGTACAGTCACTTTAATCAGATTCATACTTTGTGAAGAAGAACTCGCAAGAGATAAAAGTTTAACCTTCATGCAGGAAGTTCAGGAACAGACAGGGGAATGGGCCTGCAGATTGCTGGTTGAGTTCCCATCCGTGGCACAGTCCGGATGCAGTCGATCTCTGTAAGAAGGCGGTATGGTTGCTAGTAATCTCCATTGCTTTCAAAATACATACTCTGACTTTGGTTCTTGAAGCATTCTCCCTTCGCTCTTGAAGCCCAAAACTTGGTGGCAGCCGGTGAGGGTGCTGTCCAAAAATTAAAGAGAAGTTCTGGATAAGCAATTAGGAGTTGTTAACAGGATTAAACAGGAAAGTATACTTCACTAGTGGCTTCAAAGTAATGGTAACAAAGGAAATGCAGCTGCATTTATTTGCATAAAATGGGAAACTTGTCAAAATGAATGAAGATGCCAAAATGCTCAAGCTTAACTGCCAGCATAGCACCAACATAGTAAGTGACTGTAATTCACTATTGTACAGTCAAATCTAAATCCTAAGGAAGATGGGATATCTGGATATCTAATACATATGGAGCTATGGATACCTGAAGAAATGACCGTATTAAGAGGTAAAGTTAATTACTTCACAGCTTGGATGAACTGGATTCTGTTGCCTTGGGAGGCAGCTTCCAACACATTATTCTCTACCTGTAATGACCCAATTTTACCTCTGAACTGGAAGAACATGACTGACTGACCCTCACTTGCAGGAGGGACCTTCTGCGTCAACGCTCATCACCACTCCAGGTAAGATTTGTAATGCTTCTGTTTAAACTTCATTCACAATTGAGTAGGACAGAGCATTTGTTCAGCTAACAGATCTGAACGAGACCACCAGTGACCGGTGCCTTTTCTATCAGTACGTCCGTTTACACCATCAGAGCCAGTATCTAAACCTGGTCCCTGTTTACAAAGGGTTTATATCAGTAGAGGCATTGCCTGAGTAAGGATGGAAAGTTACAACCTTTTAGGGCTGTTCTCCTTAGGTATTGGAACTCCTGTGAAGCATCATAAGGGATCGTCTGGGCAGAAGGAGATCTATGGAATTTTTTTTGTCTCCATTAACAATGGTGGAAAGCTTATAGTTCCTTTTTAACAGGGATCGGTTTATCATCTTCTGAACTTGGCAGAAAACTGATTGCTAAATGTGATTAATGAGATGATGGCAGACAGAAGTAGGAGTATATGACTGCTTTTATCACTTCAGTTTTACAGTAATAGCAGGTCACTACTCAGTATTTCAGTGGTGCTTATGAAGCCCTACATCATCTGTTAGTTTGAAAACTGTGTTTAGGTATAACGACAAACCTTTCCCTTACCCTACTAAGGCAAGGCAGTATTTCACATTTTATTTCTTATCCAGTTGTTGCATCTCTTTAAAATGCTTTTTCCTTTCTAGGTTTTCCTTTGCTCTCCTTTTTTTCTCCTGCTTCTTCTTCTCTGATGCTTTCTTCTCTTTAAAAACATCACTATCTTCACCTTTGTAGAAAAGGTCAACTTTTTCCTGCAGGATTTCTCTGGCTATCTTTCGGTTCTGCTCCACTGATCTTGTTTGATGACACTGAAGAAATACAATAGGACATTTTTTACTGGAACTTTAACCCGTTTATTCTTCTGCTTTCCCTTTCGGTCCAGATATTCCTGCCATTACAGTAAAGAAACTCCCCTCTCCCCCAAGCCAAGAGCATCCTCCTACCCAGAACCGCTGGAACTTTTCTATCCAGATGATGCATTTTGGAGAGGCTGCCTAATAATTATTTGCTACTGTAACTTGTCAGACTGGCTTTTGCATTAATCTCTAATGCTTCCATTTTACCTTGGAAAGCTTCTGAGTTTAATTTAACTGTGTCTTCCCCTTGTGACAAGGAAGCAAAGATTAATTCAAAGTATTAATCCACAAGAAGTAGGTAAGAGTAATGCTTAAAAAGAATCTGCAAAGTGAGTATCATCAACTTATGGAAGACATTCTGACTAACTCACAAAAGGGATAGCAATGTGACAGTTGCCACAATGAACATATATTTTATTGAAAACTACAGAACAGTACTGCACGTCAAAGCCAGGAAGATCAGCTATGATCCCAAGTTTGTTTATCTACTAATAGCCAAAACTACTTCTTGCTGAGATTCTTTACAATACATATAAACTTTTCCTCCGTGACATTTGCATTGTGATTATGCTTTACTGTGAAAGGAGAGTTGGAAGATGTGATGCAGTTTGTGACTTAATGAAATAAAATACAATTACCTTCACTACAATCCCAGATGGGATATGCTTCAGGACAACACAGTTGCTTGTCTTATTTGTGGCTTGACCTCCTGGGCCATTGCCTCTTACAAACTGTTCTTTTAATTCTGCCTCAGTTAGTCCAAGGAGACTGGAAGAGTTCGTCTTTCCTGCTGCCTGAAGTACAGGCACTCTGGGCAGAGAAAACTGCTGCTTCCTCAAAATCCACAGTCTCCATAGTGGTGTTCGTACTTCTCTCAGTAAGAATGTAAAATGAAATAAACTTGGAACATTCATACAGAAACGAGGACACAGTTTCTCTGGAATGAAACCTGAAATAGAAATGGGGAATGGAGATTACCAGAAGAATCCTTGTTTTAAGATGATGTAGTTTAGCTGTGCATCTTGAGCAATATTTTAATATTCAGATTTATTTTCAAGGATATCTGCCTCAAAATATTTACCATTCTGAATGGAATTTTGGTTGTTATTGCAATTACGTTTCTTAAAATAGTCAAGATTATTATTTTGTTGATGAAAGGGATCTGGAAAACAGTAAATAAATTAGTGCTCCTACCAACACTTGGAAAATACTACGGATATGCCCCCCAAAAAAGGAAAGGAAAGAGAGGATATTTCTGTCTTGCAGTCTGACCTGTATGGTCCGACTGGGAAGCCTTTGCGGACACTCCACTCATGTCCAGGTTATGTCTTGCTGGCAACAGGACCTGCAATTCACTTGTCAACACATGCTTGAACTACATCAAGGGAGGACAGGTGAGGGTGCAGGAATCCTCCTCTAGGGTTGCCTTTAACAGTGCTCTAAACTACTGAAAGAAACCTGCTGGAAGAAGCAGCAAATTTACATAATAAAACTGGCCTAATAACATCCTGGCTTCCCATGTTCACTGGCTTACAGTCATGAGGTGGAGGGAAAATGAAACAATCAAAAAAAACCCCCAAGACTGATTGTAGAACATTTCTGTCCCAAGGATATGGATATCAGAGGTCAGATCTGGCAGAACAGAGCTTGAGTAGTTTAAACAAGTCAGAATGCCAAGATGGACTTTTACCTGTAAGAATGATGCATGACTGCTCAGTCAGAACGGCCAACTAACGGTGTACAGCAGAACTCTGGTATGTGTATTTACAGTTACAGACTGATTTACGGGTTTGAGTTCTGAGATTCCTTTTTAATGCTAGGTTAGTACAAGAAACAGAGTAATCCTTATCTAAACAGATTACATGATCTAGACTTGTCTTTTGACCTTGCTCCATCACAGTGGTTTCCAAATTCTGAGGTCAGGCTCTAGCGTGCATAGGATTTGGCGAGTGGTCTAATACAGCCAATGTGGTAAACTCCATTTCAAATCAGAAGTATTCTTCTGTGTTGATCCTGTTAACAAGCTTGCCCGTCCTGCTCTACTCTCATAAATTTCTATATAGTCTATCAAATGGAAGAAAAAGAATCAAGGAGTAAGCAGACCACCAGGTTTTCAACTACTACTTCACATGCCGATTTTTCCCAGGTCAACTTATTAACAAAGCCAGAAAAGTACGCATGGAAGTATGCATTATCCTCATGGAAAATGAGGAATGTCAGGTTCTACTGCTGTCAAATGGCACTCTTCAACAAGGCATTAAGTAAACAACTAAACCAAGACATGCTGTTATGCTTGAAATACTTTATTGATTCATAAGAAAATACTTCAGCATGTGAAGAAGTGGCACTTGGCAATAAACATCCATAAAAGTTGAACATAACTGTTGAAATAAAAATAATTTAAAGAAAGCTTTTATTGGCAAGTGAAGATGTCCACGTGGTGGCACTACAGGGTAGCAACAGGTCTTTTTTTCTGCAAAAATACATGCGGAAAAAATTAGTTCTGAAGTAAGCCTTTAACTCAACGGCAGGTTTAATAAGGGCACTGCCCATTTAAAGTAGCCTGTTGTGGAACCAAGACTGACAACTCTCCGAGCCGCCTGATCTTAATAGGTAAGTCAAGGTAAAAAATCACGTTCATTATAAGCCTATTTCTACTACTTGACATATCGCTATAAACCAAGAGTAACCTAGAAGATACTAGAGTGATACTAGAGTTTTCTCGAGATTTCACTTAGCACAGAAGGTCTCCAAGAAACACATGCCTTAACAATGCAAAAAAGCCCTTAAGATAGTAACACTTTAATTCTAAAGCTTTGCTTATGAGGTTTTTAAGCACGGACTACAGAAGAGCTGTGTCAATAAGAACACTAATCTATTTTTTAAGCACAGTTACAGAAGTGACCACCTGTTCTCAGTTTCACCGCAAAGAACACAGGGCACGGGACACATCGGCGATGATGGTGTAGCAACAATGCACCGTGCACTCCGGATAGCTCATTAAACCGTTTTTTAAAGGAACTGCTTTGCTGAAAAGCTTTCACAAACAACTGCCTTTGTTGTCCCATACGTGAAGGAAACCAAGCGAGCAGCGAGATTTCAGTAGAGCCTCCAGCACAGCTTGACAGCTGCCACACACCGTAACGAGGTAAGCGCAGCGGCCGGCCGAGGCCTGCGGCTTCGCGGCCACTGCGCCACG